TATATATATATATATATATATATATGTGGTCGTGCAATTGCTGAGGGCTTATGTTCCATTTCTTTCTTCATTTTTTTTTCTTTCATTGGTTGCGTTGTCTTTTTTCCCTTCTCCGAGCTTTGCTATTCTCTTTTTCTTCTTTCTAGAACAATATTATAGACTCCATGGTTCAGAAATACTCCCAAGAATCGTTTAATTTGATTTCTGCTACAGAGGTTTTTTTTCTGTACATTGTGGATGTAGAAGAGGTTAAGAATCATTATGTTTTGAATCCTATGATTCTCCTGCATCCGGTCGGCAGCAACGAATGAACTACAATTGATTTCTCTCTTGACTTCATCTTTTAAAAGATCACTTTAAGATGGGTCTTCGCTGCCATTTTGTTGAGAGTTGTGATCAATCTTTAATCGTTGTTATCATCCCTGTTCAGATCCTTCCCAAATCGATCGCGACCATCATGACTTATGTGCTTTTCAGTAGGAGGATGAAAATTCTTCCGGATTGGTCATGATGGATATATTCAGTTTGCCGCTAGTACTAAGATTCAACTTTTGGGGCTTAAAAACAAGGTGGAGGGTTGGAAGATGAAGTTCAAGGTCGCCTTGTGTGCAGACGGATGGGGGATCTGCACTTCTTTTGCAGAGTGTTAGGTGAAGAAAGTGAAGACCTTGTCAGGGCATGTTAGAGATCATAAAGCGTTGATTGAGGGTCAATGCCTCTCTTTATTTTAGTACCTTGACCCCAAAATGATCAAGCACATGATTTGTTTGGATGTTGTCGATGTCATGACCAAGGATTTGTGGAAATCGGCTGACAATAGGGATGTTACTCAGAAAAAAGCTGCTAGAGTAAGGGTTGCTTAGAAAAGGCCTCGGGGAAGAGGCATTCCTCCCTTACTCAGTATAGGTTGAGGTCTATCCGACTCGATCAAGTCGGTCGAGGAGGAGGATGAAGGTTGGTGTTATCTTCTTGTCAGTTATGTGCGAAAAGCATTTTGGTGACCTTTGTGTAATTTGTTAGGCTCTTCAGAAGGGAGCAAGGTAAATTCTTCTCGATCGACTTAACTTCCTGAGTCCAAAGGCTCATGTGGTATTTTCCCAGCAGAATTCATTATACCAAATCTCTGGTAGTAGTACCATATATAGGGTTGGTTTGTTTTAATCGTCCACCCTTTTTGATTATTCGATTTGGTATGTCACACCAGATCATTTATGATAACGGCTTATGCCAGAAATAAAAAATATATATGCCAATAAAAAAATATATATGAATGGCATGGAAGGCTCTCAGTAGCTCCGTGGGCATCTTGTACAATATATTATACACCCACCTTTTTCTATGCTTTATGCGTTGACCCTCTGGGTCCAACAATCCTTCCTTTGGAGGTTGACTAGTCTTCTTAGTGGGCATGTGCACCCACCCTTTTATGTGTGTTATTGCACGTAAGAGAGGTCTTGAACATCTCTTAAAACTGATTTCTGATTTCGGAGGAGGGACGAGGGGTCATGGATCGGATGGAGAGCGACGCCCTTCAGAGGGAAGGAATGGCTCTTGTCACTGATGTCGACTTGCCCCCTCCTCCCGTTTCTTCTTTAACCATTGATTGCTGGAATACATGAGTAATTCCAATGTTATGAGTTACTGAAAAGTGCACACACATTTCACATATGCAGTCATCATAGACTTCTCGCAAAGCTCGTCGTTAGAGGTTGTTAGCTTCACAATTGAAATTACTCAAATTTCTATTATCTACCTATAAACTACGTTGAATTTTAAAGGCTCAATTATTGTCTAACCTTTATACTATTTGTCTTAAGAAACATATAGTTTAAAAAACATGAACAAGAAGAAATTTGAGTATATTTAAGCTACAATCTTTTTAACTACGGAGACTATTTGATTGTCTGGAAATCAAATGCATTGTATTTATTGTGATAAATTTTAAAAGTAAGTAAATATGAAGTAGGAATCGGCAGGTGGTGGCGGCGGCCGCGGGAGTTAATACAAAGCTAAATCCTTATGAGCATGAATAGCGAAAGAGCACATGTTAATGATTTGGGCTATTTTCAGAGGCAGAAAACATAAAAATATCTAGGCATGGTAAATTTCATGAACTGTACAAGCAATTCTTTTAAGCATGCAATTATTTTGCTTTATACTAAACACCAAAATAACTTAAATGAATGAAATGAAATAATTCCTAAATGACACTAATAACCTATATGAGTAATGTAATATTTGAAAGCTTTTTTGGCCAACATTTAAGATATTGTATTTCACCTCTTTTAGTTAAATCTTGATTCTGTCACTTTATTTATTTGATTTTAATTTTGCAAATAGAAAAAAGGCTTTCGCCCTTCAATTGACCGTCAAATTTTATTATTGTTATGAAGTTTTATAATATGCTGCAATGCAAGGTAAAATGATTATGTTCCTTCACTTATATTTTGATCATTCAATTTTTAATAAAAAAACAACATCTTGTTTGCGCTCCATCAAAAGCAATAGATAGGAATCACATTTTATTAAATTTTACAATTATTTAGATAAGTTAGAGAGAAACAAATTCTACTCAATGAACACTAAATGTTTCAAAAAAGTATGAATTATTTTGAGTGTTTTCTAGAACAACAAGATTATTAATCTTTTTAAAATAAAAAGTTAGGCACAACTTAAAGATTTTTCACTTCAATAAGACTTTAGCATACTATAAAATTGAAAAAAAAATTATTGATTTACATTGCTATAAGTACAATATAAATTTTCAAACACAATATGTGTATAAAATTTATTTATGTATAAATGCGGATTATATATATATGTCACTTGTAGCAACCATCTGTCAATAGCTAATAGGGAGCAAAAAAGTTTTAGCAAGCGAAGAGATGTTGCATTCCAGCTGCCGTGCAACGCCTGAGGGAGGGATTTCTTCCATCAAAATAGGTGTGTATGAGTTAGCAAACTAAATTTTATTAACCTTTTTTTGGCTGGTTTATCCACTAAGCGCAACATTTTCTTGGTATAAACAAATAGAACATTATTTCACCTTGTACCCTGCCGTCAGAAAGCGTTCGAAATTTAAAGTGCTTGGGATGCCAAGCGCCGTTAGCTTATTCGTACGTATGTTTCGTGCGCTTTTTAGGCCAGATTTAACCTGGGTTTATGCTAAATTTATGCTAAATCTGGCTGGACGATCTTTTAGAGCAAAATAAAGTTGCGGCTGCGATAAATTCGGATTTTACGAATTTCGTATATTTTACTAAATCCTACCTATTAATGAATTTAACTTCGAGCTGCATATTTAATGACGGGACAGGGGATTCTGGTGGAAGGGAAGATGTGAAGTTATCTTCTTTTACTGCACAAAATAATGTAAAAAATAAAATAAAGCAAATAAATAATTAAACAGTGCAAATCAACCTTCTTCCACATCCACCTCTTTCTGAGGGGAGGGGTTAGAACAGGCAAGAAGAGCTGAAAAAAAAAAGTTTATAAAAGGAGTACAACTTCACACAAAAAATCAGTTATAATCACTTTTATAAATAAAAGATGATTAGGACATATAAAATTGAAATATTTACAATGCAAAAAAGATCATGGAATTAGATCTCCTCTAATTAGATTACTTAATATCAATCTTCATGATATAGAAAAGATTATGCATGAGATATCTATAATTAGGTTACATAATATTAATATTTCTAATATACACATTTCCTAACATAGAATCATTAGATTTAATGATTTTCATAACAATCTCCTCTTTATCTCTTATTTCAAAATATGTGAGAGATGACCAAAATGAGTTACAATACCGAACCGACTGCACCAAGATTGTTACATGCATGCCCTCTTTTGAATGAATCATGCTTCATGTAGTTTTTCAAAATGTATGAATAGACAATCAATCATGTGCTTGAATGTTCATCAAACTCCAATAATATATTCTGAACTTATAGTACTTTATGAGCATGTTCACTAGATTCTTCTTCATATCTATCTTCTTAAACAAAATATTATGTCATCAATTAAGTACCGACATGATAAGCTGGATTTGTGGTCAATAATATCACACTCTAACTCTCACAGAACATCGTTAAGGACTCTTAATCAACTACTAAGTTATCAATAGGCCCAACATCCACATCGCTTCATCGCCTATATAACTACCATGTACGTAGTCTCTGTAGTAGATAAAGTAACAGTAGACTAAAAATTGATCTCTAACTGACTGAACCTCCTATCAAAGTGAATAAATAACCAGTCGAAAACCAATGTATATCCTTATCACCCACATATTTTGAATCAATATAGCCTACACATAAATCAACAATCAATGACTATCATTCAAACACCAAGCCAAAATTAATTGTATCATTCAAATACCCTATAATACTCTTCACAACTTGCCAATGACTTCTTCTCGATCATGCATGAACTTGTTCAAAGCACCAACTGTTTGTGTAATGCCTGATCTAGTACAAATCATGACATTTGTAAGACTACTCACTTTACCAGCATAAGGAATTGATCGCATATCTTTCATCTTCTGATCATCTCTAGAATACATATTTGAAGTCAACTAACAATGAGATGCAATGATAGAGTCGTCGCCTTGCTCGAATCATCAACCCAAACTTTTTCAGCACACATTTCAAACAAATGCTCCATGTGTTTGTAAAATATTTCTAATTGTGTTGTCCTTGAGAATTTATATACTAAGAATTCTATGAGCTTCACCCAACCTCTATCTCAAAATGTTTGGATACTTGCTTCTTCATCCTATCAATCTCAGTATAATTGACAGATGCAATCAACATGTAGAAGCAGATGAACTCACCATTGACCAACTTTTTAAAATGTGCACAATGATCATATTAGTTTCTAGTGCACCCATAAGGAATTGATCAAACTTCTTATATCGATGTTGCGGTGACTGCTTCAGCCCATATAAATTTTTTTTCTAGAATGCAAAATTAAGTCTCCATATCCAAGTAACTACAACATATAGACTTCTCTCACAATTCCATGTGTAGGAACACAGTCTTTACATAAATTTGTTCCAAAATCAAACTGCATTGTGCTACAAGTGCTAGAATAGCACAAATCGAGAGATGCTTGACTACTGGGGAGAACAACTCATCATAGTAAATTCCTTCTTATTGTGTAAAATCTTTTGCCACGAACCTATCCTTATAGCTCATTTCAGTTCCATGAGATCCTTCATTCTTTGCGTACACCCATTTACACCCAATCAGTTTCATTTTTGGATGAAGCTTCACCAACCTCCAGGTAGCATTCTTTCTGAAAAACTCTATCTCTTCATCTATTATCTCACTCCAGAGATCAACATCTAGGCTCTCAACCGCTTCTTTAAATTTTTTGCTTATTTGAATCAAGCTCACATGTCGAAGTATCTAAATTAAGCTCACCCGATGCAGTGACTAAATTGAGCCCACCTGCCAAAGTGGCTGAACATGGCCCACCTAATAAAGTTGTTAAATCGAGCTCACCTATCGAAGTTGTTGAAACAAGCCCAACAACCAAAATGACTAACTTGAACCCACCTGCCAAAGTGGTTGAATCAAGTCCATTTGCCGAAGTAGCTGAATCGGGCCTACTTGTCGATCGAATCATATTTACTCCTCTCAAAAGAACAGTTGGCCCACTCGTGTGAGAACAACTATCGGAGAAGGACATCATTGATAGTAAGAACATCTTTCAATCTTTTATTAAAGACATCGTCTAACATTTGAGACTCAATATTTTTCTCATGTATTAGGAATGTGCATCATACCGGCAACACCTGATGACACCCACATTGCAGTCTTTTCATCAAAACATCACGTAAGGTCGTCATACAATATCAGATGATTCACATTGATTATTTTATTGTCTTTCTCCCTTGTGTATAAAAGGGAAGGAAAAAATGAGAGGGGGGATCTCTCTCTCTCTCTCTCTCTCTCATTTTCTCTCT